AGATCCCACCTCAGGCATGTGCAAACCATCCCCACTGCCATCCCCACCACGAAAAGGGGAGTTTTAAATCCTTCTGCTTGTCCTGCTTTCCCAAGTCCTTCAAACTTAACCCAAAACCCACTCGGGGTGAGATTTCCTATACTGCTCTTCAGCATAGAAGTCTGGTTTTCTTTCCATGACATAAAAGTTCTTTACTTTGGTCCATTCCATCTCTTACAGTGCTAACAAAAATAGATGCTTATTGCTTTAATAAAGGTTTTGATTTGGAAATTATTTACCATTTAGACTTTGTACGCTCTAATTGCTTTTGATTCTTTGGAATATCTCTAATGCAAAGCAGCTGAAAGACTGAGGTTTAAAAATGGGCTCTTGCACATTTGAAGTAAATTTTATCCTGCAATCAGTCATAAAGATCTTAACTGCAGCTATCACATATCCTAAATATGTAATTGCTGTGGAGCCTTTCCAGTCTATTGGTTACAGGATGCTGGAAAAAGGGGAAACTGAGTACAAATGTAGGCCCTGATGTCTGTGGGTATTTTGGGGGGATATTGAGCAGATTGGTCACCTGCCTGAAATATTGTATTCCTATTTTTTTCCTAGGATGGAACCCTGGAATTCAGTTGTGCAAAGATTAATTAAAAAACTCCATTTGCACGGTGAGCTCACTGATTGCCCTGGTGAATTTTGTCTGGTTTTTGGGACCGGGGCATCCACCCCCAGCCTCATGTGCTCCTGGGGGAAGGTCTGAGGTTTTAAATGTGCCTCCATCCACATGTGGATCTGCCCTAAAATCAGTGCTGCTTTTGGTACATGGATGCAGCCCAAGAGGACCAGGCTGCTTTCATCTGTTCTGCCCGAACCTAGGGAATCAACACCTAAAAATACAGAAAAAAACCCCTTGAAATGTTTGATTTTGAGAGATTTTAAAAACATCTTGGTCAAATGTAGCCTAGGTATGGATTGACTAGTCCATATTTTGGATGATCTATAGTTACCAGCCTTAAGTGAAATGGCATCTGCTTACTTCTAGTAATTTTTTGCTTTCAATAGAACCCTCTCCCATGTCCTGGCCATCTTTAAAGAGCACAGCTCACAAATATTGAAAACTTAACTCAAAGGAAGCCTCTAGTTCTTCTTTTTTCAGTAAAATATGAAAAGCATGAAAGATTCAGCCTCAAAAATTGCTAAAGATGTTTAACACACCATTAAAATCACAAAAACAGTGCAATTTATTGTCATCGGAGAAACACTTGCTTTCAGCCCTTTCTTTAAAGGATTGTGTAAGATATTTACATACTAAATTAATGTGAATGGCCGCTAAGTACACACCAAAATTCTTCCAGCTGGGAGACATGCGTGTGCAAAGGCCAGGCCACTTGGGTTCTTGAGGAGAGAGGAGGGAGAAGCTCCCCCAAGCCCAGAGGCTGCTGAGATGGAGCTTGGGGGTGGGCAGCTTATATAAACCCTGGATGTGCTCGTTCTGCAGCTACTTTTTTATAACAAAGCCCAAATTTGGAGTCTCTCATTCTTATGATTCTACCCCGTGCTTCTCTCCACCCCCTCCTGAGTTTTTTTTTTTTTTTTAATCCCTAAATTCAGAAGGTAACTGTGAAGCTGAAGTTTCTCTCTCCCTGCCCTTGGTTTGGTGGGACTTTGGGATGCTGAGCTCCACCTTGATGGGCTCAGCACCCCGAGGGCTCCCCATGGATGATGGGCAGCAAAGAAGACAACAGTGATCTGTACTTAACATTAGGTGGCACAAAAGAGTTTCCTTTTGCTCACAGAACACTGAAATCGATGGGCAATAACCAGCAGAGATTTTCTTTTCTTTAGACAAAATTCTCCTATTTTCTCCGGCTTTCCAGCAGCCTTTGAAGTGCTTCTGTTTATAAACTTACTTGATTTCGTCTTTCATTGCATCTCTTTTGTCTCAACCTAATTTGTTTTAAAATAAGACATAACCCAGCCCTCTCTGTGGTTGTATTTACAGAGCAGCCAAAGGGCTCTAAAACGGGCTAATTTCAGTGAAACGCCTTCTGTCCCTCCTCCAAACCAAGGCTGCCTTTAGGAGCTTTGCCTCCCGGGGCCCTTCAGAGGCACCGTGAGCACGCAGGGCTGGCTTTAACCTGGAGCTTCTCCTCGGCTGGGGCTGCCCGCAAACCACAGCTCTTTACTCCTGCCTGGTCCCCACGCCACATTCATCCTGTTCCTGCAGCTGACTGAAAAATCGGGCTTTTGGGGGTTATATTTCCTTCTGCTGCTGCCGTAATCCTTCTGGAGAGAGATCTGGATGTTGTGGTCCCTGTGCGGAGCCACCCGGGCCGCGCTGCCCAGCACAGGGGCGGCCCAGGCCCGCTGCCCCCAAGGCCGCGGTGCTGCAGCTCACAGAGATTTACCAATGAAATAAATCAGTTTTACGGGGCAGAAACAATGCACGGCGCACCGTTCACATCCCAAATGCCCCTCGCTCCCCGGTGCTGGCAGTGCAGTGTGAGGGCGCCTGTCCACTCGCGTGCTGCTGCTCTTACTGAAGACGAGAGCTCGCTCCCTGCTCGGGCCGCTCCTCAGGATTCCTAAAGGTAATTTTATTTTCCCCCTACACTGCTGGCAGAAGGGTTGGCTATTGTTTTCTCCGAGGTTCGGCTTCGGAAAAGGGGGAAGAAGAATAATATAAATAAATAAAAAGTAAAATAAAAGCCCGTTTCGCTGGCGATCCCCTCAAGTTTTTGCTGCTCCCCTGCTGCCCCTGCACCCCCGGCCGCCGGGCCCGGCCCGTTCCCCGTTCGCCGTGATGAAGTGTCATTGTTCCTCCACACGCTGCCCTCCCCGCCGGGGGAGCGGCCCGGGGCGGGGACGGGCCCGGCGCTGCGGCCCCTCCGCTGCCGGGCCGCGGTGGGCGGGAGGACGGGCGGAACAAAAGAAACTTGCCCGGTGCCCCGCTCGCCGCCGCTGCCCGGGGCCGGCTCCGCAGATATCGACACACACAGAACGCGCGGCTCCGCCGATGGACGCACGCTGCCCTGCCCCGCCGAAGCCGCACGGATCCTTTTTCCGCCCCAAAAGCGCTTTTTTTTCCCCACCCCAAAGCCCGGCAGGTGTCAGCGGCACTGCCGGGATCGGCCCCCGGAGCCCCCCCGGCCGTGCCCGGGGCTGAGGGGCCGGAGGAGCCCGGCTCGGCCAGCGCACAAACCACGCACCCGCAGGTTTCCAGCTATTTTGTTTTTCTTTCGTAAAAATGTTTATTTAAACCTTTTGGGTTTTTTTTGAATATTTTTTTTTTGTCCTTTTACAACAATAAAATATTGCGTCAATATAAACCCCTTGACTAAAACTGGTCGACAACCAAACGTTACAGCCACTCGTGTGTTTCGTTATTATTTTTATCCGACACCCATTTAGGCTTCTTTTTTTTTGTTGTTTCTTTCTGAAACGTTTTTTTTCTTTCTTTTTTTTTTTTTTAAACATAATGCGGAATTTATTGAAAATAAATAATTGTTGGCAACTGCAATAGGCAATTTTGGATAAAATAGTTGAAAAAAGCAACCTTTAATGAAAATAGCGTTTATTATACATCAGTTACTAAATGAATAAACTAAATGATCTTTCTTTAAATTAATAACTTCCAAAAAACGTTTAATATACAAAACTGTACAGTTATAAAGTTGGCAGAAATAGGCAGGTCCTCAGTGTCTTTTTTTTTTTCTTTTTCTCTTAATTTCTTTTTTTTTTCCCTATTTTTTTTTTTTTTTAGCGCTTACTGAAAAATACTTGAAAAATATAAATGTCGAAAGGAAAAAATCTGGAGGGGAAGGAAAGCAGAGGGACAGAGGAGGGGGATGCTGTGCGGGAGCTGCGGAGCGGGGACCGGCCCGGCCCTCGGGGGGCCGCGGGTGCGGAGCGGGGAGCGGGGGGAGCCCGGCCCTGCCCGGCGGCCCCGGGGGTGCGCACACACACTGGGACAGACGGACAGACACACGGACAGACGGACAGACAGACGGACCCCTCGCGGGTTGGGTGCGCGGCCACCGCACCCCCCCCGCCCTCGGGGACAGCGCAGCCCCGGGCTGGGAGGGACGGGGCGAGGAGGGGGCGGGTGCAGCTCAGCGCTTCCCTGCGCCCGAAAAACGGCGTTTTTGCGTTTTTAGGGACTTTGTTTTGGTGGTTGAGAAGGTTTTGTGGGTTTGTTTTTTTGTTTGTTTGTTTTTTTTTCTCCCTGTTTTGTTTTGGCGGTGATTATTATTATGATGATATTTTTTTTTTTCCTATCACCCCCCCCCAGCCCTCCCCCCCCTTAGAAAAGCTTTTCCACAAATCCAGCATCTCCCTGCGACGCGGAAAGAAGCTCAGCGTGAACCGAATGCGGGCGTTTTCTGTCCTCTTCCCTCCCTCCCTTCCTCCCTCCCCCCCGACACCTCATTCCTCTTCACTATCGAAACAAAATACAGAGAAACCGATTTCCGAAGCGAAAGCGCAGAAGGATAAAGGTGTTTTACTACAGACCTCTCAGTCTGGCGCTGATTAAAAAGCCCAACTCATCTTCGGAAAGAAAAAGACTGGCAAATGCCGCGGGTTTGGTTGTGATGCTTAATTTCGGGTAAATCTCCTAGAAATAATTATTTTATATATATATATATATAATTTTTTTTTCCTTGTGAGAAGAAGGGAGTGGGGGGGAGGTCAGGCTCGTGACCCGACCGTCTGACGGTGTTGGGAAGTTCTTGAAAAGGAGGAAAAAAAGCTGCAACAAATAAGCCCGTTCTTCGCATCGGTGCGGGGCTCCGCGGGGCTCCGCGGGCGCGGAGGGAGCCCCATCTCCTCGGGGGGGCGAGGAAGGGCCGCGGCCGCCCTGCCCCGGCCCCGCTGCTGACACTGCCGGCGCTCGGGGAAGGGAGGGTCGTTTGGACTGCTCGATTCGATACAAATTAGGTCACAAATATTGTGTACAGTTTGTAGTAAAACACCTCAGAGACATTTAAAAACGCTATATAAGTCTTTAAAAATGCAAAACTAGTCTATTGTAAAACAGATTCACCTGAAATACAGCTGATATAACCAAGGCGCTGGAAGGTTATTCATAGGCACACATCTGTCTTTCCTTTTCTGTCGGGTTTTTCGTTCTTTTTTTTTTAATTTTCTATTTTTCCGTGGGTTTTCCCTTTTTTTTCTTTTTTTTTTCTCGTTTTTTTTTTTCTCTTCCTTTTTGTTTGGCTTTTGTTTTGCGGTGGGGTTGGCGGAGTCTTTTTGTGTCCTTTTTTTTTTTTTTTTTTCCCTTCGTCCTAGCAGAGACCGAAAACCAAACCTCGTCTGCGAGTAAACACCGTGTGTGTGACCAGCGGAAAGGTCGGAGAGAGGAAAAAAAAAAAAAAAAATTATATATATATTGCCGAGGCGGCGGCGGGCGGGGACCCCTCGCCGCGTCTCCCGAAACCATAAGTTAATAAAGCCCGAGAAGGCGGGCAGTCCGTGCCGCGGCCGGGCAGTCCCGGGGCCGGAGCCCGCGGTCAGAGGTCGTGGCAGGCCGTGTCCGTTTTCACGCCGTGCGAGTACACGTCGTGCTGCGGCTGCTCGCCCGGAGGGGTCATGCGCTTCTCCTTCTGCCGCCGGTTGCAGAACCAGACCCGCACCACCTCCTTCTCCAGCTGCAGGCTGTCCGCCAGCGAGGAGATCTCCTGGGCGGCCGGCTTGGGGCACTTGAGGAAGTGCGTCTCCAGCACGCCCTTGACACTCACCTCGATGGAGGTCCGCTTCTTCCTCTTCCTCCCCTGCGCCGCGATCTTGTCGATGCTCGTGGGGCTGCCGGTGGAGGAGTCGGCCTCCTCCAGCCACTTGTTCAGCAGCGGCTTCAGCTTGCACATGTTCTTGAAGCTGAGCTGCAGGGCCTCGAAGCGGCAGATGGTGGTCTGCGAGAAGACGTTGCCGTAGAGGGTGCCCAGCGCCAGCCCCACGTCGGCCTGGGTGAAGCCCAGCTTGATGCGGCGCTGCTTGAACTGCTTGGCGAACTGCTCCAGCTCGTCCGAGGTCGGCGTCTCCTCGTCCGAGTGGTCCTGGCAGTGGTGGCCGCCCAGCTCGCCGTGCTCGCCGCCGGCCTCGCCGCGCAGCCCCGGGTGCAAGCCCTGGCCGGCGGCGGCGGCGGGGGGGGCGGCCAGCGAGGCGCTGTGCGCCGGGCTGGCGCCCCAGGCGCTGGGGTGGTTGGCGTGGGGCGAGTGGTGGGAGACGTGGGGCGAGCGGTGGTGGATGATGGCGCCCAGCTGCAGGTCCTCGCGGCCCGGCTTCACGTCGGGCTGCTCCAGCGGGCCGCCCGCCAGCGCCGCGGGCCAGGGCGCGCCGTCGCTCAGGCTGGTCACCCAGTGATGCCCCAGCGGGTGCCCATTGCCGGGGACGCCCTGCAGGTACTCGCTCTGCAGCAGCTTCTGCGGGCTGCGGAACGGGCTGCCCTGCTGCATGCCCGCGCCCTCGGCGTGGGCGAGCGCGCCGGCGCCCAGCAGGCCGTAGGGGTTGGAGGCGGCTGTGGCCATGGCCGCGGCAGCCCCACGAGTTATACTGTGCCGCCGCCGCCGCGCCAGCCTTTGACATCCACCGGCACGGCGGCCCGGCGGCGGCCGCGCCGCGACTGGCACCCGNCCTGCCCCGCTGCGGCTGCCCCGGGCCGCGCGCCCCCGCCTGCCCCGGGCCGTGCGGCACGGAAAATAAAACAAAACAAACAACGGAGAAAAGCCCCAAATAATAAAAAATCAGCCCCAAAAAAGGAGCTCGCCGGTAAATCCCGGTGGATGCTCTTCAAAGTTAGCAGCGCGGGCGCCGTGCGCCGCCGCTGCGCGCCTGGCGGGCGGGCTGCGGGGCAAAACCGGGGGGGAAAACAAAAAGAGGGTGAAAAAAAGTGAGAAAAGGGAAAAGAACGGGGGAAAGCGCGCGCGGTGCCCGGGACCCCCCCGGCGGAGGAGCGGGGGGAGCGCGGAGCCCGCGGGCAGAGCTCCGCACCCGCGCAGCCCCGGGACCCCCGAGCCGCCGCCGAGTTCCAAAATGACCTTTCCCCGCGTGGTTTTGGAGGTAACCGAGCTGCGTAATTATATTTGCACTTCCAGAAGACTGCATCAGAGTCCCCTTATTGGTTTGAAATTCCATTAAATATATTGCAAGAGCTCCTAGGTTAAGCTTGATTTAAATTTGCATACATTTTCATATATTTAGCAGAAATAAAAGAAGGCTTGCAGCTACCAGAAAGTCATTAAGGCATTAGTTTCTCTGAGAAGACAGATCTGAAGAAAATTCAAGAAAATGAGAAAATAGATCTAAATAAGGTGAGCGCTCCTCTGGTTCCTTCCGAGCCGGGTCCCATCGCTTTCCTCATTATAATAATAATAATCACAATAATTTCTCGGCGTGTGCGAGGGGTAAAGGCAGGGCTGGGTGCTGAGGAGCCGGGGAAATCGCGATATATCGGCGGCTCCGCGGGTCCCCGCCGCGCTGCGCGCCCGCGGGGGTGCGGGGAGGGGGGGGCGGCTGGGAAAATAAATCAAAAATGAGGAAAAATAAATAGCAGAGTGAAGTTTGCGGGTAGGGGGGGTGCGGGGGGTCACGGCAGGGCCGGGCGCTGGGGATGGCCCCGCCGCAGCCGCGGAGCGGGCGCGGGGCGGTGCGGGCGGTGCGGGGCGCGCAGGGAAGGAGTTACAGCAGCAGCTCTTCCTCGTTGGTTTTTTTTTTTTTTTTCCCCCCCCCCCCCCCCAACAACATCAAATCCGCACTGTATAAAAACGTAACTAAATTATTTAAAATTAATTTGCACTTTAACTTCCGAAACAATTTTTCAAATCCCATTGCCCGTGAAAATAGATGTTCAGATCCGCCGTTTAATTAAGGCAGAGTCTCTGGCAGGGAAATAAAACCCCGAACGTCCCATTTTAATCTTTGCTGCAAATGTAGCTAAGGCAGAGCCCGGCTCTGCTCCTGCCGAGGCGGCTCTCACCTCGCCTATGGCAGAGTATGGTGGATTTTATAGTGTTTTTATCTGCATATAGTTAAATCTTCTTGCTGTTCTAACTAATCTGCTGGAGAGGGTTTCTTTAGCTCTTTCCTGTCAGTCTAACTTCCCAAGTGTAACAGATGCCGCTCTCAAGCGGTCCTTTCTGCTGCTTTTCTTTATTCAGCCTCGCATTTTTCTCCCCATGATCTGGGTTTCCATAGAGAGAGGAATAAAAGGGGGACCATGGCCACAAATCCCCTGCCCCATGCAGAATAAAAGAGCCTTATTCAATAGCCGACCCCGTCTGGACATGGGAGAAAAATAAGTACATGCAAAGCTACTGTTGCAAGAATTTGTAACTTATTTTTCATAGACCGAAACCCAATAAAGTTTTTTTTTTTAATTAAAAAAATGTAAAAAAAAAAGTTTTTGGGTTCGGACTGTGCGCTCGACCCCTTTGCCTCTGGGTGCCCCCGCCCCAGAGGGACCCGCGTTTCCTCAGCAAATAACTCGCTTTAATATCTATTTTTTCTGCTAAATCTTTGGCGTGAAAAAGCTCGCACAATAGCTGGAGGCAGCCACCGTCCTGGGGCAGCGAGAAGTCGCTATAGAGAGCGCCCCGCTTTGAAGTGCGGGGATTGTGCCGAGTCCCCCCGGCTGCGGGGCTCTCCGGGGTCACCGGCTGCCGTGACACCGTCCCCGCGCTGTCACCCACGCGTGGGGCGCGGGCAGGGCTCCTGTCCCCGCTCCAGCCCCGCTCCTTCCCCTTTGCGAGCTCCGCTGGGGATGCGCTCCTTCCCCGCCGGAGCCGCAGCTTGGGACCCGACCCCACCAGCGCGGAGATTACCGCGACAGAGCTGATTTTATTATATTTAACCGGTTTTTGTTTTTTCCCTCCGCACTCCTCTCATTGTTCATCCGCGGGAGGGGAAGGAGACAGAGGGGGAAAAAAAAAAAAAGGTCTAAAAGGGGTTCGTTTTGATTGTGTTTAATACAGCATGAAGCTCGGAGCGGTAAGCTGTGCCTCGGTGTCGTGACCTCTGTATTGAAAACTTCACCTTCAACACAAGTTCACTTTAGAGACAGGACGAGTTAGATTGCGCTTGGTGGGAACAAGTGCAAATTTAAAAACAGAGTCAATCATAACGGGGGTGGGGGCTGGGAAAGGGCAATTTAACCGTTTCTGGAGCCAGGAGTTAAGGTTTGCATTGTGTACATCCAGGCGCTGGGGCTCCTGCTGAAGCCCAGCCGCCCGTCAGTGCTGAGAAAGCGGCTCCTGGAGCTCCGGAGAGGCTTTGGGAACACCTAACCAGCGTGGGGGAAGCTTAGGAAGCAAAAAGGAATTTACAGAGTATTAGCAGAAATTAGCCAATACCGACACAAGCTCAATTAGTTCCTTTTTTTTTTTTTTTTTTTTTTCCCTTTGGTCTCTGTTGGCTGCTCTTGAACGTGAGTAAATGCTGTGTGCAGGGAGAGAGGAGGGAGAGAGCCACGCAGCCATCTCCGAGCCCCAGCCAGGAGATGGACTGACAGATTGCAAATTAAACTAGTCCTAATGTACGAATGAATGCGGCCCCCCCCACCCCAAATCTCTCCCAGCACCAGCCCGGCAGCAGAGCCCGGCACGGAGGGAGCGTGGCTGCGGCTGGGCTGGTCCAGGGAGGGACAATAAAGCCAATCCCGGGCAGGAAAAAATCACAAGGTAAATAGTATTTGTATTCTAACTGCTGCGATTTCCGAAGCGGTTTGGGCGACTCCTTGCTCCTCTGCTCGAATCGCCTGTTATTGTTTTGTTGTTATTATTATTATTATTATCATTAATATCTTTTTCTCCACGTTGTTGATGTTTGAAAAATGTACTTGCTGCGGGGGAAAAAAAAAAAAAAGAAAAAAAAGTCGTTCTTTCAACCCCGTCATGTTCAGGTCACTGTTATTTTTGAGCTGGGTCGGGTTTAGGAGGTCTCGCTTCGAACATTTGGTTGACGGAGCAAAAAAAAAAACCCGTAAATATTCCGGGAAGCGTCTCCAAAGCGCACATTTTTGCTGGGGTCGGTTGTGTTGGGCGCCGAGCGCGGACGGGCAGCGGCTGCGGCCCCGGCCGTGCCCGGCGCGGGCGGAGCGCGGGGGTCAGGCAGAGTCACAGAGCCCAAACAACGCCGATCCTGCCCTCCTGTGCAGGCACTTCCCTCACCGTGCCACTCTGACCGCCGTGATGGCAGGAACGCGCTGCTTTCATCCCGGACCGAGATCCCGTGGTTTTTTGCTCGTTGGTTGTGTTTTGCTGTTGTTGTTGTTGTTTTTAATTATTATTATTTTGTTTTTCGGTGAAGCTTCTCCCAGCAAAAGGGGGGATGCTGTCAGAGACGGGCACCCCCAGCTCCTGCCACCCCAGAGGCCGTCCCGCCTGTGCTTTAGAAATAATCCAAAGACAATTCCCGATCGGACAGAATTCTGCTCAGACATGTTTAAAGGAGAATGGGCTGGATTTGAGCACGCACTAACTGGCTGGCTAGTTAACCTCTGTTGACTAATGAGACACTGAAGACAAATCGCTCTGTTCCTTGGATGACAAATACCTGCGTTGCTGTTTGCTAGCTTACCGAGCAATTTCCATGTGGGCTTTGGGTTCATGTGTTGTGTTTTCTCTTTCATTTATTTATTTATTATTTATTTAACTATACGCTTTTCCAGCTGTAGCAGTCGGCGTGCAGAGCATCCAGCGATGCTCCTGATCTCGCTGAGGGATTGAAACGCCTCCTGCATTTTGAAGCGCCTCGTCATCCTTAGATTTACGTTTATAAATACGTAGATGCTGCTGCTAATTCTTGGTTTTCTCACAGACTTTCGCGTGTTTACGGCTCGGTGGAAAGTTTCCTCCCCGCTCCCTTCAGATCGCGCCAACCAAAGCTGTTATAAAAATGAACTTTGAGGCCAGGCTGCGTGGCTAAAAGATGTTTCCTTCGTGGATCGAGCTCGGGCGGTGCAGGATGGTGATGGTGGGGCAGGCTGGGTGTCGTTCACTCATGCGAACCCTCCGTGGGCCCCCCAAAAAATCCCCACCAGCCCCTGCCAGAGCTCCGTGCGCTCCATCCCCAGCGTGTGCCTTTCCCTGGCACCTCCTGGCAGCTTTTTTCTCTCCCCCCGCCCAGCAGGCTGCCGGTGAAGGGCTCTGGAGGCTGCAGCATCCCTTCCCCTCCGTGCCCTGCCCGTGGCGGGGGGTCCCGGGGGCTGCGGGGGAGAACTTCAGGGGGAGGCGGGCGGGCGATAAATCACCGCGGGCACACGGGAGAGTCGCCATCCAAGCGGGGGAGACAGCCCTCGGCTGCGAGAAATAAATGGGAATAAATCAAAGCGGGGGCTGCCCGGGGCAGGGGGTGCCCGGGGCCCGCCCCGCTCCGCCCGGGAGCGCCCGAGCGGAGACGGGGAAAGGCGCTCTGCAAACTTTTAATGAAATCACCGGCGGTATCGATTTTTGTGTTTTTTTTTTTTTTTTTTTTTTTTTTACCGTGCTTCAGACATTGGAAAGTGTCCCTCTGGGGATGGGGGAGGGGGCAGAAGGCAGCGGTGCAACGCGAGCTGTATTGGATATTGAGTTATTTCATATTTTAGAAAATCAACGGCGTCTCTGAGGGTCCTC